TGATGAAAAATTTGCATAAAGAATGAGAGCTATTTGTGTTCACGACCAAGGATTAGAGGTTGTGGGAAAGGGGTCGTGACGCGGCATTTAGGGTTTCAAATCTTGCAACGAGGTCGCTGTGCTAATCAATTGCTGGAATTGTATTGCAGTCGGTGTTCAATTTGTAGATGCAACGAAATATCTTGAGCGACGGTGCAAAAATCAATTATTTGCTGTTAGTCATTTTTATTGAATTTTTTCGCAGCTCTTAATCATTTTAAGAAGTTTTTACCCAAACGAATCGAGCTAAATGTCGAATGGAAAGATTGAAACCTACAACGTGACACATTCCGTCCCACGAAATTGAACAATTAGATATTTTTGTCGCTGATAAAGAGAACGTTGAGTGATTGGGAGTTTTTTTACACAACATGTCGAAAGGAAGTGGAGTGTTGATGGAATTTATACTATTAACGTCAATATGTGGTGAAATTGAAAGCGCAGATTGCCTTGAAGTATTTGAACTTCCACTTTGAAACCCTTTGGCTTGATAGGTTATTGGTTTTAACAATGCACCTTTGATGATTTCTAATCCACGATGTCATTGATCAGTTGTAGGGGGTATACAATATGTAAACGAATGTGACCAGAGTAGTCTGCTCTTTGTTTAACCTGTCTTGTACGTCCATCGGGAATACCTGCAGATTGAGGCCGGTTTATCGTTCACGGTTTAAGTGGCGTTATTTGTGGGAATATTTTCTAATTATATGAACTGTTAACATCAACCAGATGCCCAGACATTGAAGAATCCTATGCTAGGGTTTTTCAAGTTACCAGAAAAGCGTGTCTGACAGTTCAGCTGGTGCAAGAACGTCCCAGTAGCACTTCTCATGCCAGGATTGAACCAAGTTCCATTCTACTTCAGTATTTAAACCAGTGGGTTGGTGACAATTTGCCCCAAGCCCATCTTCTTCCCAGTAGCTAAGAGCTTCTGAAGAGATGGTTAAAACAAATGTTCCGGTTTGCTATAAGTAGTGTGATGGGTAGGCTCAGTCTTTCTAGAACATCTGATGACACTTTCCTTTTAGGAGTTCAAATAGCTAAAGTAGTTTTGATTCAAACTGTAGCACCGTGAATGTTGTCTACCCAGTAGCCTCCATATGACGTGTATGTGGAGGGATGTGCCTACTCTTTCAAGATCCTTTGGCAGTTGGAATTCGATATAAGAGTATACCCTAGTGCCGCTGCCCGTCTTCATTAGCCCAGTCGGGGCAGAACAGTCGGACGTTAAACCCCATTTCATTTCATTTGTTTCAAGATCACCACCTACTATTTGTGGGTTGGATAGCTGAATGGTTAGCGTGCGCGCGCTGTATCATAAAGTCTGTCATTAAGTCGACTGGCGTGGTTTCGAATCCCCGGTTGTACACCTACGCGCAAGCGAATTATATAAATAAAATTAAACCATATGTTAGTCCCGAAATGACCTAGTTTGTGTCGAGTGGACGTTAAACCCCATTTTTCTCTCTCTCTCTCTTTTTGTAAACGAGTGACACGACGCTGAAACAGATAGATAACCTAAACTATACAGAACTGTACCACAACCATGGTCTAAACTAAATATAATATTGATAGCCTTGGTAAATTGGAAAACCATTTTGTACTAAAGACACGGGGTCTTGTTTTGACAATTACACAAAGTGTCACCTTAACGTTTGGTGTTTTAATTTGGTTCTAAGGTTGTAATGTACATAATTATATTTTCATAGATTTTTGTAGTTCATTATTTATGTAATTATCAGTGGCATGTCTACGATGGTCTTGCTTATTGATAATTACACAGTCCTTACGAAATACTCCGTTCATCTTGTCTAGAAAAAATTGTTTCCTCACTAGAATTCACGACACTTCAGCCTCACAGATAAAGGTCAAATAGATAACAATAATTAAGAAAAGTCCACAGAATAAAACACTGTATTTTTTCACCTTCCAAATTGTTTGATTAAATCTTCTGATAACGTATGAACACAGATATCGCTGCTTAAAGCAAATGACAAATTGTCCTAATTCCATATCGACCTAATACAACCTCGGTCATGGTTACTCAACCTTTTAGGCCTCGTTGATGGCCGGTGATGTAACCGTTTGATAAATAGCTTCGTTTTTAATCGTTTGTTTCTGTCCGCAATCAACATGTGGCTTCCATTGATTTGAACTAATAGTACAGTACATGTATAGGTTTATTATGTGCCCTGGTACTGAGTGGCAGTTTTCGAGAATTAAATCTGTTGGGTTTTGGGAACGCGCGTTCTATTTAATTTGAGATAATAATACTGTATAGAAATATTGTGTGTCTAAGTATAGAGTAGAAATTGTTGTGGATTGTATTTATTGGGTTTTGGTAATGTGGGTTCGATTTCTTTGCCTATAGTGTACCCTATTGGTGGATTGAACTAGTGAGCTTTGGAGCATCATACACACAGCTCTAACCCCAGTTTAGAGCGGCATTTTGTTTGCAAGGTTTTGGATTACTTAGTGAGCAGTGTGGGCTTACGGTGTGTCTTGTTTGTCGATTGAACTGGTGAGCTTTGGAGCATCATACAATATAGCTCCTTCTCTAGCTTCTTGTTGTCAATAATTGTATCTATTGGTATTTTGGTTTGGATCTCTTTGAGAATAGTGAGAAGTTCTGTTGTGCCATGTTTGTGTATGGAACTGGGAATCATAACTACACTCCCTACTCTAATAAATTCGGCAGTGCTTTAGTAGTATTTGGGATTGTTTAGTTGAATTGTTCTTATGGTGATAGATATAGCCACCAATCTAATGTTTCAGGTGTCACATCTAACATAAAAATGGTTATATATTCTAGCGAGGACTGTGAATTCTTAGATTTGGAAAGTGCGACCATGGTAACGATTTGATGAGAATGATTGTGGAAGTATGATGATTAGAATTTGAAATCGAAACATTATTATACAGTGAATATATACAGTAATTGAACGTTTGCTGCAAGTTATTGTGGTCAGCCATTATTCTTAAATTGCCAAAATTGCGAGACCTGGAATGATACACAGCCGCCATGCCCACCACGCAAAAAATGCCAACCATACCCGTTCTAAACAGCATCACGTGCGTGCTCATAAAGGTCATATCTCAAATCACGTGAGCCATAATCATGTTGGTCATCATGGTGGTGCGCATGCTCATGGCCACGGAGAGGAAGTAACTGATTTAGCAGTTCCGGCTCTCATCGGTGACGGGTAAGCGCTAACATTTTCTTTGTGAGACTAGAAAATGACAGTTTATAAGCATTATTTCAATGTTACGGGCGAATTCCCGGCACTTAAAATCAGTTTTTCTTTAGATTCATTAGATCGCTAGTTATTGCAACATAATTCAGGGAAACATTTCAGAATCACTCATAACCCTTTCGTTGACAGGTGATTTTTAATTTTAGTTCAAGTCAAGATAAAACCATGGATAAGGTCCATGATAAAACTAAATGAAAGATGAGTACCGGTGGTTGTATGGTTGAAACCATAGACTCACTAACAGAATTTTCCGGGTTCAAATCTCGGGGTGATAAACATAGGAATAAAAACTAAATTAAATTAAGTTCTTGAAATTAAAAAAGTCTGAAGCATAAAGCGTATATTAGACAAATTCCATGTTTTAAATGACATTCAAGCTAGATCTATTTCCATATCTGTATGATATGCAATTTTTTACCCAGGGTTTTTTGTGGGTTGAACATTGTTTGCCGTCTGGTTTTGTCATATTATTGTGTGTAGATGATGTCTGATTATATAATTCCACTTTTATCTGGTTAAAGCTTAACAATAATTTTATCTTGCCAAAAGCAATCGTGGCCATTTCTATTCTGTATCCCGAGTTCATTCCATTGGGACTATTTTCTCGGCAAGCCACAGCTTCTTTTGTCAGTAACAGTAATTAGTTTGGCAGTCAGGATTTAGAGTTAACAGTAAAAATGGCATTTGTTTGTTTTGATCTTGGTTCCTACATTGTATTAATTTGGCTATCTTGTAGAAATTGCATGTCCTGTGTCTGTATGGACAACACACATGCTGTGTCAGGCATATGGTAGGAAAGCGCTTTTGCTGTCGGACAACAATATTTCAGTTCAAACCACCTTTCTTAAATATTTTACCCCCTTAAAAAGGTTCACTTTTAGGGAATCATAAAATCCTAACAATTTAACTTGAAATGCACACCGCTAGAGTCACACGATAAAACCTTTATTGTGGGTTCACAATTTGCAAGATGTTTTAGTTTTTATGATCAAAATATTGTGATTTGAAATCCATGTGGTGGATACATCAGCGTTTAAGTATGGCCTCATGTTGGCGTTTGTCGTTAATCATTAAACCCCAAGTGGTCAGTGGTATCGGACATATTGTGAATAGATTCTGTACATTGTCTAGACAGGTCAGAGAAACAATTTTGTTAAACCACCAAACTAACCTCAAATTATAGCAGAGAAGTTGACGGGCACCTGTTTCACAATCTGGCGACACAACTCCCTCAATTAGAAATGCGTGTAGTGAGATTTAAAGTAACTAGACTTGACACGGCTACTGCTTCTATAAAGTTGTGGGTCAGTTTAGCCATCCATATATCACATGGCGGGCTCGTTATTAAGAATAATTAACACATTTCATATCATTTTAACTCGTTTGGGGTAGTTGTAGTAACACTGGCTTCAACCACTGACTTCAAAGTATTTAGTGAAATTATAAGCTGTGTGTATGATAATATAGCCAACAACATGACGTAAATAAAACGCCATGGCATATGTAACGCCGTGTGTATGATAACCTAAACAAACACATGACGTTAATATAACGTTATCTGTATGTTCACCTCGACGTAAAGCATGGACGTTTTCTTTTATCCTAACAATGCACCGCTGATTCATGGCGTTCGTTCTTTCGGACGTTATCAATTAATTTATTTTCAGTCGGTTATGTTTTTAACCATTTTCATTTTTCTCTTTTCAGGCTTGACAGTGTGTTGGGTAGTTTTGCCACGTACGCTAGGTTGAAAGGACGATATGACGATGACTGGATTGATCGACTAAACCATCTTTACACCACAATCATCCTCATCATCTTCACTATCGTCGTCAGTACAAAACAATATGTGGGCGAACCCATCCATTGTTGGTGCCCAGCACAGTTCGAGGATAGCCATGTCGATTATACCAATAACGTGTGCTGGATATCAAACACGTATTACATACCGTTCGAGCACACAATACCACAGCACGACGGCCAGAAAAAAGAGAAAGAAATCGGCTATTATCAGTGGGTTCCCATGATCCTCCTATTTCAAGCCTTACTGTTTAAAGTTCCTTGTATCTTGTGGAGGATTCTCACGGCGTCAGCTGGTGTGAATTTGGATAAAATTGTTACGCTTGCGGCGGAAACGGCATATATATCAGCGGAAGATCGTGAAAGGACGATCAAACATATAGTACGCTACATGGACCGTTGGTTGGAGAACGCACGTGAATACAGATCCGGATGTTTTATCCGACTCCGACAACAGATATCTAAATACTGCTGTATTGTATGGGGTAAACGCTATGGCAATTATTTAGTTACCATGTATATGTTCATAAAACTCTTGTATCTCACCAACGCCGTGGGTCAACTCTTTATATTAAATGAATTTCTTGGGACCAATTATAATGTTTATGGTTTCGAAGTTATGGACCATTTAGCACGCGGTATAGACTGGGCAGATTCGCCTCGCTTTCCCAGAGTGACGCTCTGCGACTTCGAAATCCGACAAATGCAAAATGTCCACGATTACACTGTGCAATGTGTGTTGCCTATAAACCTCTTCAATGAAAAGATATTTATGTTTATTTGGTTTTGGTTGGTGTTCGTCTCAACCTTAAGTGCCGGTAACTTTTTGATCTGGACCTATACCATGATATTTCGTCAACATAGGCTACGTTATCTGAAAAAATTCCTACGCGTAAACGACTGTTACAAATCGGAATTGGATAAAAAGATGGCCATTAAATTCGGGGAACAATATTTGCGTCAGGACGGTATATTTGTGTTGCGGCTGGTTGGCAAGAACGCCAATGACGTCATGGTCTCAGAGCTCGTGCTTCAGCTATGGAACTATTATCGTAATAAACCTCTGTTCCGTCATGCTAACCAGATTAGTGACGATAACAGTAATGTATGACTAGCCGTGAAAAAATTTAAAACTGTCCAATCCTTGTTAAAAATGTTAAAGATTGAATATGTGGCCCTGGGGCAAAAACCTCCGGAGTTAGAGCACCAAGTCATACCAGATATGGGTATAGAATTGGTCGATTTAGCCGAAATGACCCGCCAAAACGGGTACGAAAGTGAGGAAGATTCAAGTCCTGAAACAGATACGGAAGTGGTACCCGATACGGAATTAGATAGTGAAAACAAAGAAACGTTTGTCTAAAAAAAAATAAAAACATGTTTATCATTGTTGTACGATATTAGCACAGACTTTAAACTTTTCAGGTGTATATAAATTAATATCTGTATAATATTTAAAACCAACAGTTTCCTCACTTCTAATCTTCACCACCAGCACTCATCAAACAAGCTCCAGAAAGATACAAATATTGCAAATCTAGCTCTAATAACTCAAAAATAAAAACTAAGATCTAAAAGAAATTCGAGGTTACCAAATTGCTCGCCAGACCATAGTGCCCTTGCAGAGCCCCTAAAGTAATCGGGTCGTGTTAGCACTGAAATGAAATGAAAAGGATCCCGACCATGATAATGTTCAAGTCAATGGGGTAACGGAGGGGATATTCCAATCTTTAAACAAAAAAAAAAGTAAAAAAAAAAATGAAAGGAAAGATATAAATTGAAGACAAACCAAATTACCTTGTTAAATCATCGTAGTTTCTGGTCGTAATTAACTTACAAATAAATCTCTTAATTAATAATTAATTGAGTGAATATATTAGTATCATTATCGCCATATACACACTTTCTTATACATCATTATCACGCGAAATATACCGACCAATCGGTGAACATGAACAAGACTCATATGTTAATTATGATCATCAACCAATGGAATAATGTACAAACATCAAATGTACCAGAAGCAAACACGTGACCAAAAACATCTCACGTGACGTCATGTCCTCCAGCAATAAGTTTGTTTGTAAAACGAAACCGAAATGGTCGAAGATTTATTTCCATGACAACACATGAGTAAATAACGAGCATGAACGAGCGATGTGATATGCATATAAAAATCTTCATCATTTAATTGTTGTCATTAAAGTACTATTATTATCATTATAATATTTTTTAGAATATATTAACATTTTCATGAATTCTGTAGAAAACGTAGAAATTTTTAGGGAATGAGCACGTGAATCATATGCCGCCATGTTTATAGCACGTGGGGTATCATACATTATGCCAAAAAATAAAACAAGTTAGCTGATATGGGGGTATGTATGACGTGTGTAGCGCGTGCTGTTAAAATAAAACGTGGTTTATTTAAATCGCTAACGTGTGATAATAATAATCAAGTGTGTGTGATATGATATTACATGAATCGAGAATTTATACCATGTTGTAAATCCTTATAAAAACAAGAAAAATGTAAAAATTCCATTACATTTCATAAATTAAATTTCTCGAGATTTTGTTCTTTTAACTTTGAGTAACCAAGGAGCTTCTGACAACTGTGTTTTTATTCATAACCTCTTTACTAAACGAACACTTTACTCTGTACTTACGAATTGGTCAGCAAAATGTTTTGGAAAATGAGGAATAGGTGAGAAAGTCCATATGAGACCAACTTTAAATAGTCAAATGGTCGCAAATCGTTGTTTTAATTTGCGTAAAATTCCCGATGTTCAAAACTGAATTTTTTACTATTTTTTAATTCCTCCTTCTGTTGACAGATGCATCTAAAATTGAACAAAACTCGAGTTAGGCAAAAAAAAAAGTTTGTTATTTCCCTGGGCTTCGGCTTCTTGAAATGTTAACCAAACACTGCCTTGTTTCTTGCGGTGCTGTGATACGTACATTTGTTGTATTTGTTATTAACCGTGGCTGTGAGAAATGGGTATGGTATACATTGAGAGGTTATGAGTGTTCCACAGAAATCAGAAGTATCTAGGCAAATCAAAATGTTTATTTTTTTAGCCAAGGTGTGAAAACCAAATATTAGTTTTAGATTAGATCAAACATTTTGATCTTGTTTTTAATTAATTTTAATATATTGAACCAAACTAATTAACTATATGTTTATTCGCATCAATGATCCTAGTACAAATATTGTATTTATTTTTTGTTTGTTACGTTTATTGTTTATTTAAAATGAGTTATGCTATTTATATCTTGCTAGGTAATTTATGTGCATAATTATCAGCCCAATCAATCAAATTACTTATTTAATTGTTGAGAGTTTTTTTTATATATATTTAAAATTCATGTAGTGTTTTTATTAACTGTTTATGTTTTATTTTATATTAATTATTACTATTATTATTATTACGATGTAGTTTGTTTTTTTAACAATTATTGAATAACAGTATTGTACTTAAATAACTCACTCATTTTTCGAAAAGAACATCGGAGCGTTATTTATGGATTATGCCAATACAAATGAAAATAATTGATCGAATTGAATCCATGGATGTCGCTTATTCAGACTAGTATCCGTTTTGAAATTCCACATACGATTTCTTTATTGTGATGGCCGCGATTGCAACTGAAAAAAAACCAGATTTGTTTGACATTCTTACTAAAAACATGGTCATATATTTCGTTTGGCTAACGTTATGGTAATAGTAGTAACCTTGTTCGTCAACGTTTGACGATACAAAATATACATAAAAGTCTCAAATAAACAGAAATTGACTTCAGGTATACTAGAAGGGTTCTAAAATAATAAACTCCAATATGCAGGGCATAATGACACATATAAATATTCAATCTGATAAAAACACAGACCCTATTTCGTTTCGTTTTTATAAATCAAAATTTCGTTTTACTTGTCTTTACTACACTATGATCCGAAGAGTTGTTATATAACCCGCGTTCTGGATGGTGTGAGGAATTAGTCAATGAAACGGTTTGTTACGACGAGTTTTTGGTGTGAGGTGCACGGAACTGTGGGTAACCCACTAGAAACAGCAACGCTGAATTTTTAATCAAATGCCTGACGTCATTGAGTCAAAAGCCGCTCGTATGACCTCTGGCGCGATCTTCCACTACAACCGGTCAGATCTGTATTTTAATCAGATTGATAAATAGTCAAGATACCTCTGCGTTTAATTCAAAGAACTGCACACTATCGCGCCTAATGTCATTCAAACGTAAAACATGTCATAATGCATAAACATAACCCGATGTTCTTTTCATAGATCTATCAATCTTAAAACGCCTTAACGGCACTTAGTGCAATTATTACCAATTGGCATCGTCCTTATTCAAATATTATGGCGGCCATGTTGTTTTTATTTTAAGTTTTGTGCAATAGAGAGTTGAACTTTTTAGATAAAAGTATGAAAAAACGTGCAGAGCAAATTTTGTATCTAAGCAAATGTAAATAGTATATTTCACATCCAATGTACAAAGTTATAAAATGTGCAGAATTTATTCTTAGTTACATAAAAAGATTTTAACATTTTTAATCTAAATATTGTTAAAGTTTTTTTTTCAAAGAAAAAAAAATCTTTTTAATGACATCGTAGAGTAGTTTTATACTATTGTCAAAAGTTACCTTTTTTCATATAGTTCTGTTTGATTGTATTTTTAACTTCATATATATATGGTCACATTCAACTCCCATTGTTTTTGATAGTTCGGAACCTTTTTGTAAATTTATTAGAATATTTAGTTTTTACCCGCACTACGCTTTGTCTACATCGGTATAATATATTTATTTTTAATTTCTGAAGGGAAGAAATTCTGAGAATAAAGTAAAAAAAAAAAAAAATTATGTTTTGAAAACATGATTGTTTCACATGAAACAATTATTTCATTTTGAATTCTTTGAGAATGTTTTTAATAAAGCCCAAAATTAGATGGAATCTGTTATTTGAAAATTAACTGCTGGACTAATCTAGAAAAAAAAGAAGAGAAAAAAACATACAATTTTTGATTGCTATTGAAGATCAAAGTGAATGGAACGAGTGTAGCATGTGTAAAAACTACTATTTCTAATGTAGCCATACCGTTTTTTTGTTGTTTTTTTTATCATTATGCAACACTTAAATGTGATAACGTGTAAAAAAGAGGCCATTTTCTATAGCTACAAATGGTTTATCATCTCCTTATATCTTATAACCCCTATTTCACCTTTACCCTTTTCAAATTAATCTTTTCAATTAATTCATCATTATTATTTCAAGTTTTTTCGTACACATTAATATTACAGGACATTAAATTCTAAAAAATAGTACATGAATATGATTAATATAAATTGTAACCATTTTTAATAGTTTGAATAATAATCGATGTTCTTTAGCGTAATTTAAGTTCATTGCATAAAAAGAGAGTCGTCTTTATTAAATAACCCAATTATGTTTCGGTTTAGAAAACGTACCAGTAATGTCAACACAACGTAGAAAATCCCATTCGTGTTTTTAGTTTCAAATTAAGTCATCTGTTGGTGCATATCGCTTTACAACATGGAAGCGTCAATTTAGAATATTTCCCAGAATTTCAACACAGTAAATTTAAATTCTGTCATTGTAATGAATTTAAGGGTGTCTTTGTGTTGCCTGTCAATGTACAATATGAGCCAGTCGTCGTTACGTTTGAATATATACTATCTTCTCGTGGACTATTAATTAGCAGTAACGTGTTTGTTATGAAACTTTTAAGTCCCTTTAACCCTTGCGCAATCTCACTGCAAATTTAAATAAATACATTGGAACTTTATTGCGAGTTGCTAACCAAAAAATATATCATTTGAAACGAATAATGAAGGTGGTAAAAACGTCTTATTTCATTTGGAAAAAAAACGACTGAGCAGCTGTAAACATAGAAAAGGTGGTATTTTTAATTTAAATGCACACGTTAACCGTGTGGAAGCGCGTCGGAATTAGCTGCTGTACGATGACTTCTTTTAGCGACCTTAAATGTCACTGGTATTTTATTCATTAAAATTGTGAGTTCTCTTAACACCTTTTGTTACTTGCTGACTAAGGAAATGAATTAAACATGCCGTTATTTGACAGTAGTAATATCTGAAATAGATTCGACGTTAATCAACCACGATATTAACACACCTTTTTGCTTCCCAGGTTTTACAAATAACAACAAAAAAAAACTCATCTATTTTTTTTGGACGCGACTCTGTATTTCACGACTTTTCTGTTATGGGTGTAACTTCAGGGTTCAGAAATCTATCCAAGTTAATGGGTATAATATCTCTTCTGGGCAATATCTTGCCACTCGTGACTTAGTGAATGACGGCATTTCGCATCCCAAAGGGTCTTCGCCGCCACGCCGGAGTGTATACTTTTGGACACACCTCAATAAATAGAAGAGGTTTATTTCTGGTTAATTACAAAGCATCTCAGAAAACCAACAGCCAGTGATTGAAACAGTATTTCTATCACATCCATGTGCGAGTCTACTTAACGCAGCCCAACATACCTATACAAGCAATGGGATGGGACAGCAATTTCCAGTGACCTTAACACTGACTTTAAAGAAAATGTGTCAAGAGTTTATGTAGTATCAAAAGGGAAATGGACTAAATGACTAATTAATTCGTTTGTCTTCAACTGGGTTCCATGGACCTGTATTCTAATCGATCTGTCATTGTTCAACTGACTTATATATGTAGATATATACTTGAAAGACACACTTCGTATTCTTTTCGCACGTTTTCGGAGACTTATAGGTGAAATGCGCCCTACAACTTCATATTCTTTTCGCACATATTCAGAGACTTGTATTTGATATACGCGCTACAACTTCATGGTTACAATATACCGAAACGAAATGTTACCTCTAAACAATCATTTTGTAAATCCAACCTTTCAAACCGCCATTTCTATTGAAAAGAATTTAAAACATTCAATCTATCATCTAATTTCTAAAAAAATATTATGGTAATCTAGGTCATGTCTACTTTAAATTTTATCATTCGTTCGTTATCATTTAATAATTTAGCACTGTAGTATTTTTGTACAAAGAGTGTAGATCAACTCAAGAGCATATCGAAATAAACTTGTTCAGTTTTAATTTATTCCGAGAATAATATAGTTAGAGCATTCCGACCAAAAGTTTCATATTTTAAGATAGTTAAATATTAAAACGTGGTATTTATCAACTATAGGATATCGCCCATCGAGTATATATTATAGATATATCAAATCCCCTTTGATTACAACAAAATATCGATTATTTATGAAGACGGTTTGATTTGATTGTGTACTATGTATCATTTTTAATAGAAATATCCATACATTCCTTCTACACCAGTCATACTATTTGTTCATTTGTTTTCGTTTTTGAAAATAAATCTATTTTAAAAGGACATTTCGCTTAGTTGAATAGTGAAGATCTCGTGAAATCAGTCTGAAAACTATTTGAAAAGTATTTTCAGGTTAAATTGTGTTTAGAAAGTAAATATCATAGAGAGACGAAAACCAGAGTGTTACAAAATTAATGTATTTGACATATTGATTGTACCAATACTATCGGACATTTTCATTATTTTAACCGAGTTATGTCCCTTTAATTTTAGAGGCGTTATTGTATAATAAGATGTGTTATCATTATCTATAATGACTGAGTTATCTACTCTTGTACCTAGATTTAATTGATATAGTCCTTGTATTGTTCCCCATTACGAATAAACTATGCACCCAAATTCATCTTATTTATTTTATTCTAAGATACCGTCCACGATAGCTTTATCCCAAATGTTGTTCGATTCCTGCATTGGCCGAGAAAGTTATCCAGATTTTCCGGCGTGGTTCCCCCTTGTCAGTGATGCAGGACGGAGGGCCTGACAAGGACAGCTGTCTAGTCATTCGGATGAGACGAAAAACCGAGGTCCCGTGTATACATTGGAATGCACGTAAAAGATCCCTTGGCAGTTGGAATTCGATATAAGAGTATGTGATAGTGCCGCTGCCCGGGCAAAATTTCCCTCATAGCACACTGTATGGCGTATGTTCGTCTTCATTAGCCCAGTATAGGAGCAGAACAGTAGGACGTTAAACCCCATTTCATTTCATTTCATTTCATTTATCCCAAATGTATTTCCGGTATACTGTATCAACGGTCATATGGATATTTCCGTCTATCTCCGGACACCTTGAAAGGAAAAATGGCCTTAACCCTACTTGGGAAGTACATGTTAAACGTACTGTAAAATGATGAATTAAGACTAGATTTA